CTTGTGACCACTCAGTGTATAGTTAGAGTATCGCTTAGCCTCTATGTAATCCAAGGATTACATAAAATTCAGCAGTGAACTGAGAATCTGTAGAAATTTCAACAAACCATGGTCACCTGATTTCGAACTTTCCGTATAATTGGGAGGAGAATGACGGCGCGAGAGGTGTTTGTTTGTTTGTTAAAAAATCGGTACTTCCAACTAGTTTAACTTATTCAGACACGAACACTTCCAAATGGTTCGCGTCCCATTACAACAGGGATGGGCAATAATGTTCGCGGGGGGGGGGCACTCCACGAATTTTGGTAAGTCGTCGCGGGTCGCACATTTCTACTTTATTAATTAAACTACCTCAACATCGATTGTATAAAGACCCTCATATATTATTTCCACAATTGCCGGGAGTCATGGCGGGCAGACAGAAATGTTAGACGCGCCGTACTTTGCTCACCCTACTTTAAAGAAAAGAAAAGTACGTTCCGCACTTTGGGGCCTTGGGTGCGTTATAAGAGTGACGGTCAAATACCACTATTCGGTCTGACAAGTGAAGAGTAACCTAAATGTTGGTGGTGGGTGGAGCTGACTAGTTGCCTTCCTTCTAGTCTGTCATTTCAAAATTAAAGACGGCTTTGTGAGAAATCCAACAAACAAACAACTCGAATTCTCAAAGAAAGACCACAATTGGGGAATGGTAACAAACCATAGAGGGATAGGTGGACCATCGGAACCCGCAATATTATTCAATGTAAGACCCAGTTTCGTTAGGCTTAATGTGTACTACGTTTTTGCGACTGTGTATCAGGTGATACTCTAGATTCAGGCCATATCTTCTGAGGATACTGACTGAAGAGTTAGTTAAACTGAACAGTACTGGTATCACGTGTTGTTGTTGTTTTTACTGTTTTTGAACTCCCATTATTGTTTTGTGTTATAAAAACCTTATTTTGAAGTTATTCTGTTTCATATTTTTAAAATGGTTTTTGATTTTGTAAGCTTTATTATTTATAATAGCAATTTGTAAATTGAGCTTACAGCATAATTTTCAGTGTTTTTAGCAAAAATGTGGGGTTTTGGATTTTCAGGTTTGTATAAACATATATTTTTTTTATCAAAGTACAGAACGTTCCGAACCCAGATGACGAAATTGTTTTTAAAAAACAAACTAACACAATGTACTATCTGTTCTCTGCTCACTGCGGGTATCAAACTCCTATTTTTAACGCTCTATGCCTTCAATTTCACCGTTGAGCCATCAAAGGGCACGACGAAATTCATCACGTCGTATAGGTTTTTACTACTAAATATGTATAACAACCAGAATCTTATGGTATCTTAGGCGACTGACTACAGGATATAACTGATCGTATGAGAATACAATACGATTAGTGTAACTTTAAAGAAAGCTGTCCGGTAAGTCAGTGGTAAAATTGGGGAATTGAAACGTTTCAATTTGGGGTCTGGTCCTGGCGGTGGGCCCATTCAAGTTAACAAAAAAAAAACGAACATATTTAATATTATGCACATATGAGGCTACATCATGAATGCAAGATGCTACTTGGTACAATCCTCCTCAAAATACCAATAAGAAACCGTTTGGTATTGTATTTTCATAACATATTATTATTAATTATTATTATATAATAATAAAATTGAAATTAGCTTTCATTTTAAATTTTAAGTCAGCATTTAAAGTGGCACAGCGGTAAGTCTACGGACTTGCAACGCTAAAATATGAAGTTCGATTCCCCGCAGTGGACACAGCAGATAGCCCAATATGGCTTTGCTGTAAGATAAACAAAGTCTACGAACTTATAACACTAAAAACCGGGTTTCGATACCCGTGGTGGGCACAGCACAGATAGTCCATTGTGTAGCTTTATACTTAACAACAACCAAATAAACAGTAAACTTACACCAGATTATAAAGAATTAGCGTAAAAAAATATATTGAATATTTAAAAATATCTTAGCGGTTTGGATAAAGCCACTTTAACATATGCATATGTACAGGTTATAACTCGAATAATGTTATTTTGAAGGTTACAATTATTGTTTTGTTTAATGTTTACATCTAGAAGACGAGAACGTTTACGAAAATATTTCCGACCTGGATTTAGTAAGACGGCTCGCGGAATTAAGAGACAAGGAAAATTGGCTCCTACAGCTTTTAATGAAAGCTAAAGAAGTTGAATCAACAACGCCCACGAAGGAAACGAGCAAGATATCATGGTTTGTATGTCATGCCACTAGATGGCAGCAATGCTGCAGTTGAGTACCATTTATACAAGGTGTCCGAAAGGTCTAGAACCGTAGGTGATTTTCTTCATTTTAGATACGTGACTGATTAAGGCACTGTCAAAGCATGAGAAGGTCGAGTTAATCCTGCTGTTAACTCAAACATGTTTCGAATTACAAGGGCAGCATCTGGAATACATTTTGTAAAATTCGTTGAAGTGCCTATGATTCGACTCTTTTCGGACACCTTGTAGATGTCGACATTCGAACTTAATTAATTAATAACAAATTCTAGTGATTCCAGTAGTCTATAGACGTGATTCCATCCAGTGGGCCCCCCAGTAGCACAGCGGTATGTCTGCGGACTTACAACGCTAGAATCCGGGTTTCGATACCCGTTGTAGGCAGAGCACAGATAGCCCATTGTGTAGCTTTGTGCTTAATTACAAACAAACAAACCATCAAGTGGTAAACACTGTAAACGACATTAATCGTGTTAAAAAACAAAAAAAAACTTTATGTTTATTAAGTAATGTCAACATTATTTACATTAATATAAACCATTTCCTGGTGTTATAATTCACAACTGTTATTAATTTGTTCTAATTAAAAGAGCATTAAAGCTTAACGAGTTATAAAACATAAACCTTTGAATAATATTACCATAAGGTGCCTACCACCTAGTGATCTTCACTAATGAAGCTACTGTCACTTCTATTACACCTGGCATGGTTTCGTAATTAGCAGAAAGTCTAAGGTTCGAGCCCGTAGCATGCCTCTTAACACATACCCACTTCACATTTTTATCTATAGGTGCGTAATGAAAGTGACAGTCAATCTCGCTATTCTGTTAAAAGTAGCCAATAGGTTGTGGATACTGCTGACGACTGGTTATTTTCTCTCTGGTCAGCAGTTTTAAAATAGTATACCTGAACCTTGAGAATCCTGACCTGGCCGTTTTATCGTATAAGGTGTCGTTCTGGTTGAAAATACCAAAAATTAAAACATAACATTATTAGAGGGTCATGATATGTGGATTATAGTGTACTGTTAATTAGTGATCCAAATTATAAAAGTTGTTAAAGAAATAAAGTTAAGATGAATCCCCTAAGATCAAGTAACAGAGATGTGAATCTACTAGCTCACTGGTGTTGTTAGATATTGTAAGAGAGAAAATACATTTTAAGGCTAAGACCTGTTTGGTTGAAAGTATTTTATGCTCATAGAAACCCACATTTACCAGTAGGATATCCCATAGAAACTCACATTAACCAATAGGATATCTCATAGAAACCCACATTAACCAACAGGATATCTCATAAAAACCCACATTAACCAACAGGATATCTCATAGAAACCCACATTTACCAGTAGGATATCCCATAGAAACCCACATTAACTAATATAATATCTCATAGAAACCCACATTAACCAGTAGAATTTCTTATAGAAACCCACAATAAACAATAGGATTTCTTATAGAAACCCACATTAACCAGTAGGATATCCCATAGAAACCCACATTAATTAGCATAATACCCCATAAAAGGTGAGTTTCATATACAGTTAGGAAGAAATTATTTCAAAGTGTGATAAATAGATTTAATTTGTATGAAGAATCATTAAATATTTTAAATATCTTTAAATGTCCCAATTATAAACCTTATTACTGACACTAGATTGTCAGAAATATGCATGAGTGTGGGTATATATATGGGCTATTCTACATAACGTCACTATCTAAAATAAGATTTTGAACTAAACAATACACTAAGTTAAATCGTGAATTGTTAAAATTCTGTTTATCTGTCTGTAAAAGTCTGAATATTAGTTCACCTGGCAAGGTGTTCCTTTCAACAATTTTATATTGTATGCTACTTGATAACTGTATCTTTTAAACAAAAGACTGCCTTTGTCCAAGGTGTATCTTCCGAGCCCTTGGGTAAACATTCTTCTATGTCAGTTGTACAAGTGAACATTTTTTTGGTTGTTTCAGGTCAACGTACTATGGTTTAAATCTTGTTCTAGCTACATTGGAAGACAGGCAAGACACAGTTATGAAAGAACCACAAAGAAAGCTTACATGCAAGCTAGTTGTATGGGCCGAAAACTTACTAAGGCTCGTGCAAAGCACAAAAGTAAGTAATAGTTACTTACTATTATCAAGTCTAACATTCTATACTAAATTTATCAACGAAAGTTTACCAATGCATTAGATATTATTTAGAGTCTTTTATGCTATAATATCAATTGTAGTAGCAGCTATGTTCAAAATATTCATTTGATTAGAATTATAACGTAATGAAGAAACAATGACAATAAGCTAGACCTAGTCAACTGTTTAAGCATTTTATTTATTAAACACAGCATACTTCTCACTATTCCTATTGCACTTCCTGTAGATACTGCAAATCACACTGGTTGATTTGTCTTAAAGATATGGTAAATATATTAGAACAGCAACTCTGACAGAATATATTTACCATCTTTAAGACAAATCAACCAGTATGATTTCTTTTAATGCGATGTTAACTCAACCTCAAAAAGCTGTGAAAAAACTTATGGTTAACGCCACATCCAATTTGTTCACTACAATATTAGAACAGCAACTCTGATAGAATTTTGTAATGAACAAATTGGATGCGGCGTTAACCATAAGTTTTTTCACAGCTTTTTGAGGTTGAGTTAACATCGCATTAAAAGAAATCACACTGGTTGATTTGTCTTAAAGATGGTAAATATATTAGAACAGCAACTCTGACAGAATTTTGTAATGAACAAATTGGATGTGGCGTTAACCATAAGTTTTTTCACAGCTTTTTGAGGTTGAGTTAACATCGCATTATAAGGGTAAATATTTTAATTTATGATTTTAATAAACGCGTAACAGACGTTACGAAAATATAATTTTTTTGTATTTCAACTTTTTCTGAAATTCACTAGTAATTTGATCACCATGTTGATTTTTTCTGATAAAAAGGCATTGATAATGACTAGTACAGCCCCTATGACTTGCCATTCTCATTCATAGTGCGGCATTACAGCAACATCATTCACGGGCAAAGCAGGTATTATCTCTAGAGAGCAACAAAGGAACAAAGGTAGCTAAAAGGAAGTCAACTTTATGGCCTTCTGGGCCTAGTGTTATGCGAAAACTCCATAGGTTTAGAATGAACAAAAAGTTTTGAACATTTCTGTATTAAAATAAGAAGCCTAAAAACGCATTTTATGCTGCCTACATATCACAATGTCAGCAAAGTTAGCTTAATTATGGGAGAAATTTGTGTTATATATATGACAAAGTTCAAGAATATTCAACTGACTCTACATAATTTTTGTACACATTTTTGGTTCAGTTTGCCTACCTTACTGGAAAAATCGGATTATTTATTTATTTTTTTACAGTTAAGTAAAGTATTCTGGAAATCTGGATATTCTCTAAAGTCTCACACTTCACCATTTCTTGCTAATTTCTCCATCGTGTTAACAAAACTAAGCATGGATTTATATGCTGAAACAAGTATATATATATGTGTGTGTGTATTCCCAAGAATGTGGATAAAAAAAAGTGATAATGTGTAAATGTACATATCTGTTTACCTATTCTGATAACCTTTTGAATGTGTTATATTTATTTCAGCTTCAGAATGGTAACAATAACTCAACAATTGATATAGATCTCAAACCAGAAATTTCCAAACCTTTTCTGGAGAATTTGCATCTGGAGTCAAAACAGCAACAAGGTCAACTGGAAACAACTGAACTTTAATAAAAACTTGTCCATGTTCTTTGAATATCGTGAAATGTTTTGTACAGAGAATCTTCATATAACAAATTTTAAAACTGCTAAGTAACCAGTGATTATTGGAAATTTGGTTCCCTTCCTTTAAGTGCTTTTGTTTAGTAATTATTCATAAAGATCACACACACAAATTGATATATAAAAAAACAGATTTAGAGAGATGTCGCAAATCTGTTTGGCTTGTCTTACAACAATGTTTGCGCTATAAAAAGCAGACGAACCTGACACAGTCATTGTTTATACTGATTTTCCTGTTATCGCAAACCAAGCGTCCTCTTAATTATTAAATCATCACCGTATCGCAAACTGTATACTTCTGTAAAGAACTCGGTGTTTTCCTAGTTATCTATAAGTAGGGTTTACAAGCTTTTGCTCATAAAGTCTTTAGCAGTATGTAAACATCTCTGTGATTGTTCATCATCACGGCATAAGAGTCCTGTCGTTCAATTAACCCACAAGACAGGTTGGACAATCCTTTGCCACTAAACTTTCACGTGGTTTATACAATGATTGCTTACTGTCAAATTAGTGTACTCCCTCAGTGCCTTACTTTATGAATGTCCACTAATGGTTAGTGTGAATTTAGACTTAAGTGATGATAATGGCATTTATAGTCTAGAAACCAGCAGTTTCCCATTTGTGCATGGAGGCCTAATATTAACACCAGGATTTTCATTTGTAAATGTAAAGTATCTTCAGAAATTATTATTTATTCGAAAAAAAAAAATATTTCATTATAATATAATTTTTTATCATTGTATTGTGCACTTTCCTATGTATCTAATTCTGTAAAGGTATGAAACATTATTGAGGGTTGGAATAAAATAACTATTCAAAAGTGGCGGAGATATTTTACGATTTTCTTTTACACAAACACATTTTTGTTTAGAACGCTATCCACAGCTGATTTATTACAATAAATAATAATACTTATAGTTATTAGAATTTTGTAATACTGTATTAATATAATTGAATTTATCAATCTGTATATTTACAAACAATAGTGAAAATATTTATAGTATAGTTACCCAGCTTCAGATTAACGTAACCTTTCACTATGGTTTTAGCTAGACTTACTAGAACAATGAATCCTTCATATTGTTATTGAACTAGCAGAGAGAGACCCACAAAATATATGCGGTCAAAGTAGTATCTTTATTGCAACAGTACTTCTTTAAAATAATTCTAATCGCAGACACCGAAATCTGTAAGTCCACTTGTCTTAGGCCTAACATTAGTTAAGCCTTTTTTAAGTTTGACCTATCTATATAAATATAAAGACGAATTGTGAGTTTGTTTGCACCCTAACTCATCCGAGCCTATTGGGCCATTCTCAACCAAAATTTGTATGTAAACACTACGAACTATGGGGAATGTCCTAAGGGAGTCAAAATTGAACTTAACCCTATTTCTATGTTCTAAAGCCTGTTGGTTAATTACTCCCACCCTATTGAGTCAATCCCAAACAATCTAGGCAGGTTGATGCTTTAGACAATGTTGAATATTCTAATAGGATTCAAGGTCAAAGTATAAAAGTTGTTGGATTGTTTCTCAAACAACCATGCTCAAAATCTGTATTTGTTGGTAGATGAAAAGCAAACTGCAAATGTTGTTTATGAAGAAGCTTTGTTATGATTTTAAAATTTTGAGATAAAGTTTATGTTCAAGTTATTACTTTAAACTATATGATTGTTGTTAAACATACATTGTTTTAATTGAGTTTAAACATTACTGTCAATTGACGGGTATTTTAGCCTGTATTCCATTAAGAGATAAATTAACACTCTAACGTGC